TATATCTATAATTACCTTACATATAAGTGGATTAAATGCTCCCACCAAAAGACACAGATTGGCTGAATGGATACAAAAACAAAACCCATATATATGCTGTCTACAAGAGACACACTTCAGACCTTGGGACACATACAGACTGAAAGTGAGGGGATGCAAAAAGATATTCCATGCAAACGGAAACAAAAAGAAAGCTGGAGTAACAATTCTCATATCAGACAAAATAAACTTTAAAATAAAGACTACTACAAGAGAAAATGACACTACATAATGATCAGGGATCGATCCAACAAGAAGATATAACAATTGTAAATATTTATGCACCCAACGTAGGAGCACCTCAATACATAAGGCAAATACTAACAGCCATAAAAGGGGAAATCGACAGTAACACATTCATACTAGGGGATTTTAACACCCCACTTTCACCAATGGACAGATCATCCATAATGAAAATAAATAAGGAAACACAAGCTTTAAATGATACATTAAACAATATGGACTTAATTGATATTTACAGGACACTCCATCCAAAAACAACAGAATACACATTTTTCTCAAGTGCTCATGGAACACTCTCCAGGATAGGTCATATCTTGGGTCACAAACAAAGCCTTGGTAAATTTAAGAAAACTGAAATTGTATCAAGTATCTTTTCCAACCACAACACTATGAGACTAGATATCAATTACAGGAAAAGATCTGTAAAAAATACAAACACATGGAGGCTAAACAATACACTACTTAATAAAGAAGTGATCACTGAAGAAATCAAAGAGGAAATCAAAAAATACCTAGAAACAAATAAAAATGGAGACACAATGACCCAAAACCTATGGGATGCAGCAAAATCAGTTCTAAGAATGAAGTTTATAGCAATACATTCCTACTTTAAGAAACAGGAAACATCTCGATTAAACAACCTAACCTTGCACCTAAAGCAATTAGAGAAAGAAGAACAAAAATTCCCCAAAGTTATCAGAAGGAAAGAAATCATAAAGATCAGATCAGAACTAAATGAAAAAGAAATGAAGGAAATGATAGCAAAGATGAATAAAACTAAAAGCTGGTTCTTTGAGAAGATAAACAAAATTGATAAACCATTAACCAGACTCAGCAATAAAAAAAGGGAGAAGACTCAAATCAATAGAATTAGAAATGAAAAAGGAGAAGTAACAACTGACACTGCAGAAATACAAAGGATCATGAGAGATTACTACAAGCAACTCTATGCCAATAAAATGGACAACCTGGAAGAAATGGACAAATTCTTACAAATGCACAACCTGCCAAGACTGAATCAGGAAGAAATAGAAAATATGAACAGACCAATCACAAACACTGAAATTGAAACTGTGATTAAAAATCTTCCAACAAACAAAAACCCAGGACCAGACGGCTTCACAGACAAATTCTATCAAACATTTAGAGAAGCGCTAACACCTATCCTTCTCAAACTCTTACAAAATATAGCAGAGGGAGGAACACTCCCAAATTCCTTCTACGAGGCCACCATCACCTTGATACCAAAACCAGACAAGGATGTCACAAAGAAAGAAAACTACAGGCCAATATCACTGATGAACATAGATGCAAAAATCCTCAACAAAATACTAGCAAACAGAATCCATCGGCACATTAAAAGGATCATACACCATGATCAAGTGGGGTTTATTCCAGGAATGCAAGGATTCTTCAATATATGCAAATCTATCAATGTGATAAACCATATGAACAAACTGAAGGAGAAAAACCATATGATCATCTCAATAGATGCAGAGAAGGCTTTTGACAAAATTCAACACCAATTTATGATAAAAACTCTGCAGAAAGTAGGCATAGAGGGAACTTTCCTCAACATAATAAAGGCCATATATGACAAACCCACAGCCAACATAATCCTCAATGGTGAAAAACTGAAAGCATTTCCACTAAGATCAGGAACAAGACAAGGTTGGCCACTCTCACCACTCTTATTCAACATAGTTTTGGAAGCTTTAGCCACAGCAATCAGAGAAGAAAAGGAAATAAAAGGAATCCAAATTAGAAAAGAAAAAGTAAAGCTGTCACTCTTTGCAGATGACATGATACTATACATAGAGAATCCTAAAGTTGCTACCAGAAAACTACTAGAGCTAACCAATGAAGTTGATAAAGTAGCAGGATACAAAATTAATGCACAGAGATCTCTGGCATTCCTATACACTAATGATGAAAAATCTGAAAGTGAAATCAAGAAAACACTCACATTTACCATTGTATCTAAAAGAATAAAATATCTAGGAATAAACCTACCTAAGAAAACAAAAGACCTGTATGCAGAAAATTATAAGACACTGATGAAAGAAATTAAAGATGATACAAATAGATGGAGAGATATACCATATTCTTGGATTGGAAGAATCAACATTGTGAAAATGACTCTACTACGCAAAGCAATCTACAGATTCAATGCAATCCCTATCAAACCACCACTGGCATTTTTCACAGAACTAGAACACAAAATTTCACAATTTGTATGGAAACACAAAAGACCCTGAATAGTCACAGCAATCTTGAGAATGAAAAACGGAGCTGGAGGAATCAGGCTCCCTGACTTCAGACTATACTACAAAGCTACAGTAATCAAGAGAGTATGGTACTGGCACAAAAACAGAAAGATAGATCAATGGAACAGGATCGAAAGCCCAGAGATAACCCCACGCACATATGGTCACCTTATCTTTGATAAAGGAGGCAGGAACGTACAGTGGAGAAAGGACAGCCTCTTCAATAAGTGGTGTTGGGAAAACTGGACAGGTACATGTAAAAGTATGAAATTAGAACACTCCCAAACGCCATACACAAAACTAAGTTCAAATGTATTAAAGACCTAAATGTAAGTCCAGGAACTATCAAACTCTTAGAGGAAAACATAGGCAGAACACTCTATAACATAAATCACAACAAGATCCTTTTTGACCCACCTCCTACAGAAATGGAAATAAAAACAAAATTAAACAAATGGGACCTAATGAAACTTCAAAGCTTTTGCACAGCAAAGGAAACCATAAACAAGACCAAAAGACAACCCTCAGAATGGGAGAAAATATTTGCAAATGAAGCAACTGACAAAGGATTAATCTCCAAAACATACAAGCAGCTCATGCAGCTCAATAACAAAAAAACAAACAACCCAATCCAAAAATGGGCAGAAGACCTAAATAGACATTTCTCCAAAGAGGATATACAGATTGCCAACAAACACATGAAGGTTGCTCAACATCACTAAACATTAGAGAAATGCATATCAAAACTACAATGAGATATCATCTCACACCAGTCAGAATGGCTATCATCAAAAAATCTAGAAATAATAAATGCTGGGGAGGGTGCGGAGAAAAGGGAACACCCTTGCATTGCTGGTGGGAATGTGAATTGGTACAACCACTGTGGAGAACAGTATGGAGGTTCCTTAAGAAACTACAAATAGAACTACCATATGACCCAGCAATCCCACTACTGGGCATATACCCTGAGAAAACCATAATTCAAAAAGAGTCATGTACCAAAATGTTTATTGCAGCTCTATTTACAATAGCCAGCAGATGGAAGTAAAATAAGTGTCCATCATCGGATGAATGGATAAACAAGATGTGGCACATATATACAATGGAATATTACTCAGCCATAAAAAGAAACAAAATACAGTTATTTGTAGTGAGGTGGATGGACCTAGAGTCTGTCATACAGAGTGAAGTAAGTCAGAAAGAGAATGACAAATACCGTGTGCTAACATATACATATGGAATCTAAGAAAAAAAAAAGTCATGAAGAATCTAGGGATAAGATGGGAATAAAGACACAGACCTACTAGGGAATGGACTTGAGGGTATGGGGAGGGGGAAGGGTAAGCAAAGTGAGAGAGTGGTATGGACATATATACACTAGCAAACGTAAAATAGATAGCTAGTGGGAAGCAGCCTCATAGCACAGGGAGATCAGCTCGGTGCTTTGTGACCACCTAGAGGGGTGGGATAGGGAGCGCGGGAGGGAGGGAGATGCAAGAGGGAAGAGATATGGGAACATATGTATATGTATAACTGATTCACTTTGTTATAAAGCAGAAACTAACACCATTGTAAATCAATTATACTCCAATAAAGATGTAAAAAGAAAAAAAATAGTTGACGAATCTTATAAGCAGGAGTTTTCACATAAAATTTCAGATTCCCTGGACCTTCGGGAGGTCCATTAACACCTGATCCACTTTCCCACGTGCCCGCCTTCCCCTGAGGCTGAGTACCAGCTGCCCCTTCAAGTTAGGAATGCTCTCATTTGCCACAGTCCTCACCACTCCCTAGTGTCCCCAACCCTGAGGCCCCATGTCGGTTGTCACGAGTCACGCTACTGATGGTGCTCTTGGTGTTCTCCAGCCCACACCGCTTCACCACTTTACTCCAGGTCCCTAGTTCCTGCAAGCTCGTGTCTTGAGATCCTTGGTCCAGAGTGAAATGTGCCCTGGTAGAGGCAGCAGAGGGCGCTGTGGACACACACAGGAGAGGCGCCCTGGGCACCTGCTGGGATGGAAGGATGCAGGCTGCTGTCTGTGCTTCCTCCATCAGCCCGAACAATGGAGGGCAGGCCCCTCGCCCTCCTAAGAGCACTCATCACAGGGCCAGGCAGGGCCATCCTTGTTGGACTGCCCAACAAGGGGAGACAGAGTGGGTTGGCCACCTCAGGGGTCCTCAGCCCACCACCAGACACTGGCTATTGCAGGTGGGAAGGCACAACCTCAGCGGGGACAGGGGGAGAGAGGGGTGCCAGAGGAGAGGCAGCTTGCTAGCTTGCTCAGGAAGGGCAGGGCTGTGGTGTGGAGGGGAAGTGGACTAACCAACCAGCTTCCTCCCAAACCAGCTCCAGGTCAGGGCTTGGAATTTCACAAAAAGGCAAAAAGGGCTTTGTGAACATTTCTTGTCCCGGCCCAGCCCCGTTCCTGGCAGTGACACAGCCTAGCTCAGGGTTACCACACTGCTTACCTGTGAAGCAATCTTCCCGCAAGAAGGCTGAGTTTCTCAGCCAGAGGCCTATAAATGCTGGGCCCCCATCTTTCTGTCAAACCCCTCTGTGTGACTTCTGGGCTTGGGTAAGTGAGCTGCCAGTTTCCCCGGGGCCGGAGCCTGCCTGCTGACTCTTTACTTCCCTCACCCATCTTCATTTCAAACCTCCTCCTGGAAGCCCTCCTTGATTGACTGCTCACTTTAAAGCCTCCTTCCCGTTTTCTTAGGTCATGTTCTGCTGCAGCCTCCTGTCCTCAAAGGCTCTCCTTTTCGGCACTCCCTAGATAGTCTATAAACCATTCCTACCATGTGTGGAATAGGGTCATCTCCCAGTTCTGTTGCAGCCCCTGCTTTCTTTTTATCCTGTCTCCTCCCTTCATTCCTGCGTGCAGCCAGTAGGAGGTGTCAAGGAAGCTTGATGATCTTTTCTTCTAAGCACCAGAACTCTTGCTTCTCCTTTGCTCAAACAGAGTGCAGGAAGATGGCTGACCAACTGTCGCAGCTGGAAAGCAGCATAGAAACAATCATCAATATCTTCCACCAGTACTCTATACGGCTGCAGCCCCCGGACACCCTGAACAAGAAAGAATTCAAACAGCTGGTGAAAAAAGAGCTGCCAAACTTTCTCAAGGTAGGACTGGACCCCTGTCAGAAATGACCCGAACAGTCTGGGCTAAGGATGGAGAATAGGGGTGCAGTCTGCAATGGTCAGGGAAAAAGTTCTTGCCCCTTCAACCTAGCCTCCAGAGGCAGTGGGCTCCGTGTCTGGAACAGGATTTGGACACTGTCACTAGAGGTGGTCCGTGGTAGGTGGCACCAACAGACTGAGCATGTGCAGTGTGCCAGGTCCCATCCTGGGCGGGGCGTGTAGTGGCCCACCGGGACCCACTGTCCTGACGGGAGAGACACGCAACAGACGTGTTGACCAATCAAGAACACAGATAGATCCACAGCCAATAAGTACCTGAAAGAAAAACAGAGAGAGCACTGTGGGTGCTGTGGGCTGGGTACGGGGAGAGGAGACTAGTTAAATGGACGTGAAGGGCCCCTCTAAGGAGATGACCTTTGAGCTGAGACCTGAATTTTGGTGGGGGGAAGCAAGTGAAGACTACCCTTGGCAGGAAGCCAATGAGATTGTAAGCCTCAGATGGACTTGGAGTAGAAGACCCCAGAGGGCTTTTCTAATCCAAAGGCTCTCTGGTAAGAAACAAATGAACAGCATGTGGGAAAGGACCCAGCCCAGCACCAGTATGTATAAAGCACTCAGTAACATGTTAGTTTATTTCCCTGATCTGAAAATGATTAAGCAGCTCTAAGAAAAGGAGGATTCGTTCCACAGGATCTTTTTGTTTTCTTTACAAATTTGGTGACTTTGGGGACACAGAAGACTGGACTAAGAAGGGTGGGACATCTAGGTCCCAGACTCAGTTCCATTCCTGGAGCGAGATGTTCCGGGATAGGTGGCCAGCCCTGCCTGGAGCCCCTCCCCACCTTGGAAAGGTGGAGAATCACAGCTGTCGGAGGTACTGGGGTTGCTGACAGCTCCCTGAAATTGCAGACCTCAGCAAGCAGGATGCTCGGTCAGGGTAGACAAGAGAGGATACAGCCAAGAGGTTGTGTGGGCAATGTTTTCCTTTGTGAGACCCCTATCCCACCCCATCCACCACGCCCCACATCCAGAGCAGATAGGCCAGGATGGGAAGCTGGGCCCCCTCCTACGGGCTGCTCAGGAGCGAGGGATCTGCCAGGGTGATGCCAAAGGTGCAAAAAAGCAGATCACGCTGAAGCGTTGCAGAGTGGGAAGGGCGTGGGAGAGGAGCTGGGCACCTGCAGTCTCCCAGGAGGAGCCTCAGCGGGGGTGCCCCAGCCAGTGGGAGGCGGGGCTGGAACCCAGTGGGGCCTGGATCCTTCACCTCCCCTCATGCCCCCTTGCACACTTATCACACCACACTGCTCTCTGTCCCCATCTCGTTTCCCTCGGGTGCTTCCCCGCCATGCAGGCTGAAATGAGTGTCACTAAGTAGTAACCTGGAGAGGGAGTGGGGAGGCGGGAAGAGGAGGGCGTGACATGGATAGGAGTAGAGGGAACGGGACAAGACCGGAATGTGCGTGTCCACCCTTCTGCTCCCAAGCCTTGTCAATCTGCACAAGCTAATTACCGTTTGTACAACTGTTTCCTCAAGTCTTCCTCAAGGAAGATTCCAAGTCTCCCTATCATTGTTATAAGGACCAAATGAGGAGACATCTCTGTACGTATGAATGTGTGTAACCTCAGGCAAGTCACTCGACCTCAGTTCCTCTCCTGTAAAATGGAGAGAATTGTGGTGGCCAGGAATCAGAAAGTGTCCAGCAGATGCTCAAACTGAGGCCCAGGAGCCTGGTGTCACTCTGCCTTTGCCATCGGGTCACTTGCTGTGCTCCCCGTCCTTAGCCCTGACCACACCCAGCCCTGACTGTCCTGTGTCTCCCACCGGCAGAAGGAGACAAAGGATGACAAAGCCATTAACGAGATCATGGAGGACCTGGACACGGATGTAGACAAGGAGCTGAACTTCCACGAGTTCTCCGTGCTGGTGGGCAAGCTGACGGAAGCCTCCCACGAGGAGATGCATAAGACGGCGCCCCCAGGAGTAGGCCACAGGCACGGGCCAGGCTTCGGGGCAGGTGGTTCAGGCCACGGCCACAGCCATGACAATCACGGCCACAGCCATGGCAATCACGGCCACAGCCACTAATCAGGTCAGGCCACCAGCCCCTGCCCACCTAGGGCCACGGGGCTGCCTTAGCTGCAGGGCAGGGAGATGGGGGGTGAAATATAAAGTCTTCCTCCAAGCCAGTGTTCTGTGTGCTTCTTTCCCCACCCCCTTCCCAACCTGACCTTCCTGGAGGTCTGGGGGTTTGACAGCCCTGTGGCTTAACTGGGCCTCAATGTCTGCATTCAGTAAGAACAAAACAAGAAGCAACAAAAATGTGGGTCTCTTCTGGGCCCTTTGGATTCACCTCCCTGACCGTCTCCTCACCTCTGACTCTAGGCCCCCCTGCTTAGGTCCCCGTCACCCTTCCCCAGCTCAGGACCTCTCTGTCCAGACAGTCAAAGTGGCCCTTGTCACCATAAAGGAAAAGCAAAAGGGGAGTTTCCCTTCCCCTCAACCTTCCAGCCACCCCCCAATCCTGCCCCCACCCCCTCTTCACCTAGTGCTCTCCACACGGCCATCTCTCTCCTACCAGAACCTTAGTCCTCTAGACAGAACGTGTCTGTGGAGGAACACTGAAGTCCAGGACAGATGGGGTGTGTTACCCACAAATGGAGTTCTGAATCCACGGGGGCATTGGGTGTCTCTCAGCAGACCTAGGGTCCTCCATGGATACGGGGGTAGGTAAGCATACGGATGGGAAGCAGGGGTCTGGCCCCGGGTGGACAGGAGTGTGAGAAGGGTACCTGCCTGCCCGTTGGAAGAAACAAGATCCAGCCCTGGCTCTGCAGCTACAGAGCCTAACCACTGAGGGGCGGAGGTTGGACACTGGGTCCAGAGAGCCTCTTAGGCCTGAGGACTCTTATCCTAAGCCTCGAGGGCAAGCTGACCTCCCTGAGATGGCCAGGGTTCCTCCAGGCCCCAGTGGGGGGATGAGACCTCAGGCCAGCAGAAACCCTGGCTCCTTTGCAAACTCGCGGCTGGCCTGGCTCCCAGCTTCCCTGCAGCTGCTGCCTCTGGTCCTCACCTCAGCAGCCTCCAGACCACTCACTTCAGAGACATCCAAGGGACTCCAGGCCTTAGAGCAATGCCGTAAAGTCCCCCTACTGGGTCATTACCGGGCTGGGGTGGGCCTTCCAAACTCCAGAGCCCAAATCAGGGTCGTCTGCTCTGCCCTGTGCTTTCAGCAGAGAGAAAACTCTGATAGGATTAGGATTGGGGGTGCTGGGAAAAGACGAACAGCATCCATCCCCCAGGTTACAAGTGAAGAAAGTGAGGCATAGAGTCGAGAAGGGACCAGTTCAAGGTCATACAGTGGTGATTGGTGAAGACATTGCAGAGAGCCTTGAATCCATCTTCCCTGCAGCCTAGATCTCACAGCTCCTTCCCCAGTGCTGAGCATGAAGCCAGGAGCGGCGGTCAGACTCCAGCTCCTCCCAGGCCACTTGGCTGTAGCCTGGGCCCTGGCCTGCCTGCTGTGGACCGTGTAGGCCCTGTTCTAAGAGCCTTTGCTGTGGCGACAGGGATTTCCGGGCTCCCACTTGAGGGTATGAGGGTGCTTCCAGGAACCACTCCAGGCTGTGAGCTTGGGGAGAAGGGTTCAGAAGCCCCCAGCCCCTGGGGGATCCCATAGGTGGGGAGACTCATCTCCTCACAGCCCTGCTAACCCACCCTCACGTCCCTGCTGTGCAGCTTGGTGCAGGAGAAAGAGAGCTGGCCCGGCAGTTGGGAGGCCTGGGTTCTACCAGTGACCTGGCCAGGACTAGATACCTCAGGTAGGGTAGGCTCCCCCCAACCCCTCTGCCCACACAATGTGTCATAAATATGTCTATGACTCTGCTTCCTCACTAGACTGTGAACTCCACGAGGTCAAGTCCATGGCATCTGTCTTATTCTCTGCTTTATTCCGAGCACCTAGAGAGGTGGCTGATACACGGTAGGTTCTCAACAAATACTGACTGTATAGATGTTCTAAAATTCCCCACATGCTCCAGGCTCCCTTCTTGGGGGCAGGTGTAGAGAAAGGAGGGAGAGGAGGTGGGATTAAAACCAGCAAAATGTCCCCACAACCAGTCGCCAAAGCTTCAATAAAATGCCTCAATCACTGGGGAAAAAAAAAAAAAAACAGAAGGCTCTAACTATGGAAAACAGTATGGAGGTTCCTTTAAAAACTAAAAATAGAACTACCATATGACCCAGCAATCCCACTACTGGACATATACCTTGAGAAAACCATAATTCAAAAAGAGACATGCACCACAATGTTCATCGCAGCACTATTTACAATAGCCAGGACATGGAAGCAGCCTAAATGTCCATCTACAGACGAATGGATAAAGAAGATGTGGCACATATATACAATGGAATATTACTCAGCCATAAAAAGAAACGAAATTGAGTTATTTGTAGAGAGGTGGATGGACCTAGAGTCTGTCATACATAGTGCAGTAAGATAGGAAGAGAAAAACAAATACTTTATGCTAACACATATATATGGAATCTAAAAAAAAAAATGTTACTGATGAACCTAGTTGTAGGGCAGGAATAAAGAGGTAGACATAGAGAATGGACTTGAGGACATGGAGAGGGAGGGCGAAGCTGGGGCGAAGTGAGTAGCATCGACGTATATACACGACCGAATGTAAAATATTTGGCTGGTGGGAGGCAGCAGCATAGCACAGGGAGATCAGCTCGGTGCTTTGCATTGACCTAGGAGGTAGGATAGGGAGGGTGGGAGGGAGACTCAAGAGGGACGGAATATGGGGACATGTGTATGCATATGGCTGATTCACTTTATTGTGCAACAGAAACTAACATGGTATTGTGAAGCAATTATACTCCAATAAAAATGTATTTTAAAAAATCCAGGGCTTCCCTGGTAGCACAGTGGTTGAGAGTCCGCCTGCCAATGCAGGGGACACGGGTTCGTGCCCCGGTCCGGGAAGATCCCACAGGCCGCGGAGCAGCTGGGCCCGTGAGCCATGGCCGCTGAGCCTGCGCGTCCGGAGCCTGTGCTCCGCGAAACGAGAGGCCACAAAATGGTGAGCCCCGCGTCGGACAAAAAAAAAAAAAAAAATCCAGAAGGCTCTGGATATCATCATGGCATCTCAAACTGGAAGGTAAGGGCAGCAAGGGGATGGGACTCTGGAGCCCCCTCCTCAGCTTTATTCAGTCTTACCAATTCTGCCTTCATCTGCTGCACACTAGAAGCTTCCATTTGAATAAAGCGATTTGTCTTGAAAAAAGTTTGAACATTATTTGTTTAACCCAACCTGCCTCACCCTCATGCTTGAGAGATTCTCCCCAGCATCCCTGCCATGCGGTTGGCTCAGCTCTGCCTGAACTCCTCCAGGTAAGGGAGCATCCTCCTTTGGTGCTGACACTTAGAAAGTCCTTCATTACACGGAGCCAAAATCTGTCTCCTCACGCCTGCCAAGCATTAACCCTGGTTTCCTCCCACACCACTGGGGATGCAGAATAAATCTAACCTCCTCCACGCACGCAGCTACCCATCCACTTCTTCAAAATCACATCCAGGCTTTCTACAGCCTCTACACAGTTGTACCAGGAATGCTCTCCCCACCCTGAGACCTCTAGTGAGTCCCTTAGGGCCCATGAAGGCCTAGAACCTATGTCACCACCTCCATGAAGATTCCCCTGACCACCCACCTTCCTCAAGCCCATGGGGGCTTCCTCCTCCAGGCCCGTAGAACTCTCCGGTACGTCTGCCTTTGCACTTGCAATAGGGAACTGTAACCCCTTATCTGCAAATCTGGCAGTAGCCCTGGATGCAGGGACAATGGCTGATTTGTCCCATGTCCCCAGGTACCAACGTGGAAAAAGCTCTCAGTGAGCATTTCAAATGGGCAAGGGAAGGTAGGGTGGTCCTAGGACCCTGTGGAGCTGGAGGGTGAAGCTGGAGCTTGCATGAGGAGAGGGTAAGGTGGGGACTGCTTTGGGCATGAAGGCTGTGCCCTTGGTCTGGCGATCTGGAGGCCAGGAGATGGTGGAGCCACTGGGCATCAGGATGGCAGGGGACAGAGCTTCATTGATCCCAAGTGTTCCCCCTTTTGCCTATCTCTCTGCTAGCTTGGTCTGAGAGGAGGAGGCTGTTCTAGGCCCCACGGGAAGGTCTACAGCAATCCACTTTCACAAAGCCCTGTAGGATTTTCTTAAAAAAGAGCTGATCAAGGTGACTTAGCCCTTCCATCCCATTAGTCCCCTTCACCCCCAAAAAGACTGGTTTTATTGAGTAGAGAAGAGCTGGATTCTTCCCTCAGGTAAAGAATAAGAGTGTCAGGGTGAAGGTTAAGATTCCCACTCCAAGTGAAAATTGCTGACTACCTCTAGGATTAATGAGTCCTTTCAAGGAACAAAAGCTTTGGGGGTTCCCCAGCATAACAGTGATTAAAGAACAGAGAAAGCCTGTTGTCAGATGCCTGTCCCTCAGTTCCTATAAGAGGGAGTTGCCCTCCTTGGCAGTGGAACCTGAACTTCTGTGTACCTTTCTGGGCATGGTGAAGAAGTACAGTGGCAGCTGCTGGATGCTGCCCAGAGGCTTAACAACGCTCAGAACATGTTCTGGGGCCTCGGTGGTATGAAATGCTTCCAGAACTGGCCACAGAGATGAATTCTTATAGCATCTACTCATTTGTCTTCTCATTCACTCATCAGACGTTAACACCAGACTTGCTGTATGTCGGGCTCTGTATAATGCTCTGAGGGGCCCCCATGATAAATATGGCTTCATTCTGTCATTAAGGAACTCCCAGGACTGCAGGGCAGACAAGACAGCTCCTCAAATGATTCCGATATAAAAAAATGAAAGGCCAGAAAGGGATAAAGTTCTGTGAGGCTTAGAGATAGGAGGGCTGTCCTTCAGCTGGGCGGTCTCCCTGCGGGGCATGAGTTAAGTCTGGTGGCCACAGGCATCCCGGGAAAAACGTGCAGATGCTTCAGGAGGAGGAGAGCACGTGTGCAAAGGCCTGGACGTGGTCAGATGTGGGGTTTGAGCAACAATGAGGACCCCTGGGGGTGGAAAAGGGGGAGGTGGGAGATGCAGAGGAGAGGGGGACAGACACTAGGCCACAGAGCTACAATTTCATCCGGAGAACGGAGGGCAGAAGCAGTGGAGGTTTG